ACCATGTGGTTGTTGGGAATTGAACTAAGTATTTCTGGGAGAGCAGCCAGTGCTCTTAACCTCTGAGCCATCTCTCCAGCCGGAAGGGTTTTTTTATTTTTTTATTTTTTATTTTTTTTGGTTTTTCGAGACAGGGTTTCTCTGTGGCTTTGGAGCCTGTCCTGGAACTAGCTCTGTAGACCAGGCTGGTCTCGAACTCACAGAGATCCGCCTGCCTCTGCCTCCCGAGTGCTGGGACTAAAGGCGTGCGCCGCCATCGCCCGGCTCGGAAGGGGTTTTTTAATGTGGCGATTCTGATGTGTATGCGTGTGTGCATGCATGCTTGTGTGTGTATGCATGTGTGTGTGTGCGTGTGTATGCATGTGTGCATGCATGCTTGTGTATATGTGTCACTCATGTAAAAGTCAAAATTCAACTTCGGGTACCACCCTTTTGTATCAGTCCACTTTGGTTCATTTGCTTATTGTTTTGATTTGTTTTTTCTTTCTTTCTTTTTTACCTCCACCCCAAGACAGGGTTTCTCTGTGTAGCCCTGGCTGTCCTGGAACTCACTCTGTAGACCAAGCTGGTCTCAAATTCAGAGATCTGCCTCCAGAGTGCTGGGGTTAAAGGTGTGTGCCACCATGGCCAACTTAGAGACATTTGTATTTGATGTGTGTCTTTATATTCCAGCAAGTCATTCTTACTGCCTGAGAAAACAATGATACTTCAGCCATGGTGACACATGCCTGTAATCCCAGCCCTAGACAGGTGAAGGCAGAAGAATGAGAGCTACACAGCAACAATGAGGCCAGCCTGGGCTACACAGCAATGGTGAGGCCAGCCTGGGCTACACAGCAATGGTGAGGCCAGCCTGGGCTACACAGCAATGGTGAGGCCAGCCTGGGCTATACAGCAATGATGAGGCCAGCCTGGGATACACAGCAATGGTGAGGCCAGCCTGGGATACACAGCAATGGTGAGGCCAGCCTGGGCTACCTCAGACCCCGTCTTGAAAACAAGTAGCTGCAGGCAGCACTCTGTAGCGGATGAACAATCTATCCTAGTCTAGCGGTCTCTGCCCCCATGAGAAGCCGTTACATAGGCTCAAACGATATTTGAGAAAAAAAAAAGAATTAGGGGCTAGAGAGATGGCTCAGAGGTTAAGAGCACTGGCTGACATTCCAAAGGTCCTGAGTTCAATTTCCAGCACCCACATGGTGGCTCACAACCATCAGTCTGTAATGAGATCTGGTGCCCTCTTCTGGCATGTAAGCACACAAGCAGGCAGAACACTGTAAACAAAACAAATAAATCTTGGGAAGGAAGGAGAGAATGAGAGAGAAAGAGAGAGGAAAAGGAATTGTGGTTACTATGGAATGGTGGCAACAGCCAAAGCCTAGTAGAGAAGAAATCAAATTTTAGGCTAGTATACATGCGTGGGATTGGTCCTGTAACATGGAAGACGGTTATGTTTCATGGAAACACTTTCTCTGATCTTTGGAACTCTGCTGTGTCTCCTGACTGTGGTGGCAAAAGTTTTCTTGTCCCCATTCTGGGCTTAGTTCCTCTAAGAACACGTCCAGTTGAGGCTAGGTGCTACCTGGTTAAAACTGAGCCTGCCCTCCCCACCCACCCCTTTCAAAATAGCATTAGTTACACCTGCCTCTCAATAAACTAAGGTTGGGAAAGGTGGCTCAGTTGGTAAGATGCTCGCTCGCCATGCAAGCTTGAGGGCCTGAGTTCAAGCCCAGAATCCACATAAAAGCTGGGTGAGGTGCATGGCTGTGATCCCCTTGCAGGGGAGATGAGCTCTGGGTTCAGCTGAGAGACCCTGCCTCAAAAGATAAAGCAGAGAGCAATGGAGGAAGACGCTGGGTGTCAATTTCAGGTCATCCTGTACCCAAGGGCACACGTGTGTGCACATACATACCCCACATAACCCCCCTCAAGTGAGCGTGCACATACACACAAGCCCCTAAACACACCACATACACACTTCAAAGTCTGAATGACATACTTCTAAGTAACCTGTGGATCAAAGAAAAAAAAAAACAGTAGCAAGTAAATCACAACATATTATTTTCATTAAAATAAAGAGCCAAGGACGGGGCTCAGCAGTAAAGGAAGTTGCCACCAAGCCTGGTGACCTGAGTTTGACCCCCAGGCCCCACAACGTGCTGGAAGAAGGGATCGACTTGTGTGCTCTGTCCTCTGATCTGCACACACATGCAGCAACCCCCTCACACTCACATGCCCACGTGAGATAAATAACTGTGGCAAAGAAATCCCTTTAAACAGAAAAGGAAAATACAGCTAAAAATAGGCCCCAGGAAGTAACACGCCGGGCCGGTTTGTACCGGCTTGTGGGAAGTTCTGCGAGTCTCTTCCCAAATTTACGTTTTGTAATTTCACACTGACATCTGTAAACCCACCGGGGTAGGAGGATTTATGCCACAGGATGAAGTTGTGTAAATGAAGCCAAGAGCGGTGGTGCTCACCAGCACTCCAGAGACAGATCAGGAGTTCGAGACCAGCCTCTGCCATACGGTGAACATGAGGGCAGTCTGGGCTCCACGTGAGCCCAGCTCAAAAAATAAACCAGAATTTGTAAATGCAGTAGATGGTGATTTTTAGTTGTTAGTTTTTGTCCTCCGAGAGCTAGACAGTGAACACTGGCCAGCGCAGCCTGCAGGCAGATAAAGCAATGTTTGGAGGTCGGTGGGCAGCTTGAAAAGCTGATTTCAGAAAAGAATGAAGCGGGAAGGGTGAGCTGGCTCAGCGCTTAAAGGGGCTTGCCACCAAGCCTGATGAGCTGAGTTCGGTCCTCATCACCGATCCCTATGGTGGAAGGAGATAAAGGCTGTCCTCTGAAGCCCCTCCCACTGAGGCATGTGGGAGCCCAAATAACAAGTAAGCAAAAGGGGTGAATAAGTAAACACAAGTTTTTATTTTTTCTTTTTGTTTTTGTTTGTTTGTTTGTTTGTCTGTTTCGATACAGGGTTTCTCTGTGGCTTTGGAGCCTGTCCTGGAACTAGCTCTGTAGACCAGGCTAGTCTCATAAACACAAATTTTTAAATAATAAGAAATATCTAAGATTAATAATCGAAGCTTTCACCTCAAGAAACTCAAAGAAGGGCAAATTAAACCTGGTTGGAGGATCCACAACACCAGAGACTTGAGAAGCTGAGGCACGGGACTTCCAAGCTCAGGTATGGGTAACATACTGAATTTCATCCTAGCCTGGGCTAAGTAAAGGATGGGGGAAAGTAAGGGAAGGGGAGAGGAAGGGAGAGAAAAGAAAGGGGAGGGAATAGGAGAGGGGAAAAGGAGGAAAGGAGGAGGCAGAAAGGAAAGTCTGGATAGGCCTACCTGTGCTGGCCATGCCCCCTTCTCGGTCTGTGCTGGGTGGACCCATCCAAGGGGCTTCTAAGGGATCCCCCTTCTTTATCTTCACCCTTTATCAGTGAATGAAATTGCAGGATGGCTTTGGAGGGGGTACTGAGAGAATCCCAAGCTACAGGTAAAACCATGGCCACAAGGCTTGTGCAGGGACTGCGACCTAACTTACAGTACAAGGGCCCACTAAGACTTCTGAGGATCACAGCCTGGCCGGGAGAGGAGAAAGGCTCTACTGGGTCCAAGTTCATTGCTATGGTAACACATTTTAAAAGTTTAACTTGATTATTAATGTGTGCATACACAAGTATTGTGGCCTAGGTGTGGGGGTCTAGGAACAGCTTATGGGAGTCGATTCTCTCCTTATACCATGCGGGTTCTGGGACCCAAACACAGATCCTGAGGCTTGGGGGCAAGCCCCTTTATTTGCTGGCACTTGCTGTATACTGAACATGGCTTTGAACTCCTGACCTTCCACCTCCCAAGTGCTGGGGATGGAAGCCAGGGCCTCGCGCGCACTCAAGGGCTCTACCAACACCGCCACGTCCCCAGTCCACCCCCATCTGCCCTTAATTTCCTTTTTCTTTCTGAGCTGTCTGACTTCTCCAGGCCTTCCCCTTAGAATAATTTTGCCTGTGTGTGTGTGTGTGTGTGTGTGCATTTATTTTTTGAGTCTGAGTATCAAAATTCAAAGATGCTGTGTGGTGCTACTCACCTGTAACACCAGCATTTAGGAGGCTGAGGCAGAAGCATCTTGAATTTGAGGCTAGCCTAGGCTACACAGTAAGACCTTGTCTAAATAAAAAGATAAAAATAAACCAACGGGGGTACAGTTTTAACCATGAAGAAAGTCAAGGTGAACCATCTTAAATCAGGTACTACCAGAATGATCTCCCGTCCTGTTTTGATGGACTACCTGGCCTGTGGCATCCAACACGTCAGTCCCTGCCTCTGCAACCTCATCTGCCACGGATCACAATGTCCCCTTGGCACCCGTCATCCTACAGCCACTTTGGGGGGCTGGGTGATCCTTCTCTCCACACAGGGGCTCCAGTGGCTCCCACAGGTCCTTAAACTTCCTGAGAAGCTGAGGCTGGCATCAAACTTCTGTGCACCTCCCAAGTGCTGGGGTTACAGCTGTCCCTACCACTCCTCTGGTCCACCCGCACCCCCCCACACACACACCTGTTGCTCTCAGAAAGCCCTTACCCTGGGATCCCCTCAAACATATCTCTAGATAGAGCCTCCTCCAGGAAGCCTGAGCTAAGCCCTGGAAATGGTGTTCTTATCTGGGGCTCACAGCTTCGACTGTGGTTAGCGGCCGAGCATCGGAGGAGCCCGCCCACTGGCCCGATCACCCGTCTGTCATTCCTTCCCACACATAAACATCCTGACCCAATAAACACGCTTAGAGAACCTACCCCGGGGCAGTATTTTGTTTGCAACACACACACACAGACACACAGACACACACACTGACAGCTTGAGGCTGGGGCCATCGGGCGCCCTGGCCTGTGGCCCCCATTCCTTCCTTCTGGAAGGGGGTCCCTGTCCTCCAGGAAGGGAGCAGTCCAGGGTGAGGTGGGGAGAAAGGCGGGGCTTGTGCCCCGGAGTGGCTGTCCCGGGCCGGGGACGGAAGTTGCACCACAGTGCGACTACTTTCAGTTTTGTTTCTCTTGCAGGTAGTCGAGGGCCGGCGGTAGCGGGATTTCGGGGCTCCTCGGACCCTGCTGCGGGAGTCCAAGGTCAGCTGTGACTGGGTAAGGAGAGGTGGGGGCGTAAGAGCCGGGACCCAGAGAGACGAGGTTGGGGGGAGGGGAGAGAGAGAACGGGAGGGAAGTGAGAAAGCCCGGGAGAGGGAAAGAAAGGGAGGGAGAGAGGGCAGGAGGGACCTGGGAGGCCCGAGAGGACTAGCCAGGTGGCAGGCCCTGTCCCTCAACCTCCCTGAGAACAGACAACCACACCCGTCCTGCCCCCCCCCCCAGCTTCCTCTCCCAACCCTGGGGGAACCGGAGAGTGCAATCGATCAATCAATCTTATTTGTTGATCTCTCTGTCTTTCTTTTTAAAGGCTGGGTCTCACTCTGTAACTCAGGCTCAGCCAGAACTTAACTACTGTAGCCCTAGCCTGTCCTGAAACTCCCTTGTAACCAAGGCTAGCCTCGAATTCGTGGCAGTCCTCCTGCCTCAGCCTCTGGAGGGCTAGGTTTTACCCTAAGCCCCCACCGAGCTGGGGACCTGTAATGCCCTCCCTCCCGAAGTTTCTAGAATGCCTTTGGTAGGAGAGGGTAAAATTAGAGGACTGGGGGGGGGGGGGAGTCAAGGCCGTATCTCCGAGGTCCAGTAGAAGGAAAGGGGATGAACTTTTCCCACTGGAGCCTTCCTCTTGTTCTGGAATTACTTTCAAAAATAGTTGGGGCAGGAAGTAGGGCCCCACCCTCTCAGGACACCCTCCCAGACAAAGGAAACTAAGACTGTGGGACCTTGTCCCAACATCAAAAAGCCGGGCACTTCGGTGCACCTGACATTCTTCCTATGTGTCCTCACCGGCTGCCCCTTGAGCCCCGGTATCCACTCAGAACAGGACCCTACACCAAAACAAACGTGGTGGTGCTTGCCTGTGATTTCAGCACTCAGGAGGCTGAGGCAGGAGGAGCATGGGCTCCAAGCCAGAGCCTGAGAAAGTAGCTCATTTGTTAGACTACTTGCCTAGTTCGCAAGAAGCCCTAAATTCCATCCCCAGGGCTACACAAACAGGTTGTAAGCCAGGAACGGGAGGCAGGAAGTTCAGAAGTTCAAGGTCATCCTCAGTTTCACAACAGGTCTGGGCTACGTGAGACCGGAAGGGTTTGGGCTACCCTTACCTTTGGCCCGTGACCTGGTATTTTAATAATTAGATTACTCCACCTCTGAGACCCAGGGGCTTCCTGGTCTCATTTTTCCCCACAGGCTCTGCCCTACCCACGGCTTTTGCATGTTTACGTTTGGTGCGTGCTGTAAAGAGGACGGAGTGGAAGAAAGACAGCCTTCCCCCAGTACCCAGTGCCTCCTACAAGCCAGAATCTCCCAGCCGTCCAGGTGAGTGCCAACGTCAGACACCAGCAAAGAGCAGGGGAGGGGCCAGGCTGAAGGGGGTGTGGCCAGGGTGCCTCTGACCTCTGCCCCTTCCCTTCTAGGATGGTCTCCAAAGTCTCCTCCCCCACTCTGCTGGAGGCTCTGAGCAGCGATTTCCTAGCCTGTAAAATCTGCCTGGAGCAGTTACACTTGCCCAAGACGCTGCCATGTCTACATACCTATTGCCAGGGCTGTCTGGCCCAACTGGACATCGGTGGCCAGGTCCGCTGCCCTGAGTGTCGGGAGACTGTGCCTGTACCACCCGAGGGTGTGGCCGCCTTCAAGACCAACTTCTTCGTCAATGGTCTCTTGGACCTTGTCAAGGCCAGGGCTTCTGGAGACGCGCATTCGGGGAAGCCAACGTGCGCTCTGTGCCCTCTGGTGGGAGGTAAGAGCTCTGGGGGCCCCGCCACCGCCCGATGCCTGGACTGTGCCGATGACTTATGCCAGGCCTGTGCCGACGGGCATCGCTGCTCCCGCCAGACTCATAAGCACCGCGTCGTGGACTTGGTGGGCTACAGAGCCGGGTGGTATGATGAAGAGGCTCGCGAGCGCCAGGCATCCCAGTGCCCCCAGCACCCAGGGGAAGCCCTCTGCTTCCTGTGCCAGCCGTGTTCCCAGCTGCTCTGTAAGGACTGCCGTCTAGGGCCCCATCTGGATCACCCCTGCTTGCCCCTGGCGGAGGCAGTGCGGTCCCGGAAACCGGGCCTTGAGGAGTTATTGGCAGGTGTGGACAGCAATCTGGTGGAGCTAGAGGCCACCCGGGTAGCAGAAAAGGAAGCCTTAGCCCAGCTGCGAGAGCAGGCAGCCAGTGTGGGGGCGCAGGTAGAGGAGGCCGCTGAACGGATCCTCAAGTCCCTGCTGACCCAGAAGCAGGAAGTCTTGGGACAACTCCGGGCTCATGTGGAGGCTGCTGAGGAGGCTACCAGGGAGAGGCTGACCAAGATAGAGGGCCAGGAGCAAGTGGCCAAGGCGGCTGCTGCCTTTGCCCGCCGAGTGCTCAGCTTGGGTCTGGAGGCCGAGATCCTGTCGCTGGAGGGAGCCATCACACAGCGCCTGCGCCAGCTTCAAGACGCTCCCTGGACACCCGGGCCTACCCGCTGCGTGCTGCCCAAGCTGGAGCTCTACCCTGGGCTCCAGGACAAGAACTGCCACCTGCTTCGACTCTCCTTTGAGGAGCCGAAACAATCCCAGAAGGACTCTGAGAAGGGCGGAGCTGGTACCCAAGGAGGAGATGACTCTCAGAGCCAAGGGGAGGAGAGAACCAAGACAGGGAAGCAGGCTGGCGCCCAGTCCTTGTGTAAGGATGGAGCCCCAACTCCCAAAGAAGGCAAGGCCCAGAACTCCCAAGAAGATGATGATGTCCAAGTCGAAAGGGGCAACAGGGCTAACAAGAAGAAGAAGTGCAAAGGGAGGGGCAAGCCCATTTCTCGGGAGCCCAGCCCCATCCTGAGGCCAAACCTAGAAGGTTCAGGCCTCCTCCCTCGGCCCGTTTTCTCCTGGAGTTTCCCCACGAGGATGCCGGGAGACAAGCGTTCCCCGCGGATCACCGGGCTCTGCCCCTACGGCCCACAGGAGATCTTGGTGGCGGATGAGCAGAACAGGGTCTTGAAACGCTTCTCTCTTAATGGCGACTACAGGGGCACGGTGCCGGTTCCCGAGGGCTGCTCCCCGTGCAGTGTGGCTGCCCTGCAGAATGCAGTGGCTTTCTCCGCCAATGCCAGGCTCTACCTCGTCAGTCCTGAGGGAGAAGTTCAATGGCGAAGATCCCTGAGCCTCACCCAGTCCAGCCACGCTGTGGCCGCGATGCCGTGTGGAGACCGCGTAGCCGTCAGTGTGGCGGGCCACGTGGAGGTGTACAAGAAGGAAGGCAGCCTGGCTACGCGGTTTATCCCAGGAGGCAAGGCTAGCCGGAACCAGCGGGCCCTGGTGTTCCTGACCACCAGCCCTCAGGGCGATTTCGTCGGGTCAGATTGGCAGCAGAACAGTGTGGTTTTTTGTGATGGGCTAGGCCAGGTGATCTGGGAATACAAGGGCCCGGGTTTACATGGCTGCCAGCCAGGTTCTGTGTCTGTGGATAAGAAAGGCTTCATATTCCTGACCCTTCGAGAGGTGAACAAGGTGGTGATCCTGGATCCCAAGGGGTCACTTCTCGGTGACTTCCTTACAGCTTATCACGGCCTGGAAAAGCCCCGGGTGACCACCATGGTAGACGGCAAATACCTGGTGGTGTCCCTCAGTAACGGGACTATCCATGTGTTTAGGGTCAGGTTTCCTGACAGTTAGCGGGGCTTAGGGCTGGGATGGGAGGGCAGCTGGGGAGGGAGGGCACCCATGGGATGATGTAGCCAAGGCTGTTTTCCCAGCTGGCAAAATGCTTGCCCCTTTTGTGATGTATGGGGAGAAGGGACCCCAAGAGGGGTGGTGGTGTGACCATAACCTCAGGAGCTCGCAGCAGGTGCCAGAAGTCAACCCAACCGCTTCCTTTGGAGTGACTCCTGCCGCTGTGGCTCCGCTGTGTAGTTTAGGTGTCTTGAGATTTATAAGTGATTCTTGATCTATATTCTTCAAAACCATTCCTGGGATGGGGTCACAAATCCTCTGTAGAGCACTTGCAGGGAAATCACAAATGAGGCTGGGGGCGTGGGTGTGGCTCCATAGTAGAGTGCCTACCTAGAGTCTACCAATGAGGAGTGGAGGCGTGGCTCAGTGGGAGATCCCCTGCCTAGAATCCCCCAGTGAGGGGCTGGGGTGTGACTCAGTGGTAGAGCCCCTGCCTAGGATCCCCCAGTGAGAGGCTGGGGTGTGGCTCAGTGGGAGATCCCCTGCCTAGGATCCCCCAGTGAGGGGCTGGGGTGTGGCTCAGTGGTAGAGCCCCTGCCTAGAATCCCCCAGTGAGGGGCTGGGGTGTGGCTCAGTGGGAGAGGACCTGTCTAGAATCCCCCAGTGAGGGGCTGCGGTGTGGCTCAGTGGGAGAGCTCCTGCCTAGAATCCCCCAGTGAGGGGCTGGGGTGTGGCTCAGTGGGAGAGGACCTGTCTAGCCTACAGGAAGTCCTGGTCAATCCCTATGTCTTCCCTCCTACCTGGGGGACAAAACAGATGGAACAGATGAAAGTGAGGCCTAGGGAGATGGATGACTTATGTCGTTCTCCAAGCAAAGGACAGTCCAGTCTATGTCAAGACATGGTGGGCATGGTGGAAATGGGTGAAAACTGGCCATTCTCACGGGGGTATATGAGGTCAGAAGAGGCCAGAGGTCTCAGAATGGCGATAACGATGTCACGTTCTGCTGACCACCATTAGGGAGAAGAGACTCCCTCAGTGAAGTATAGGGTAGATTTCAAAGTGTCAGAGGTCAGAGAGTGCAGGCAGAGGCCATAGATGTGAGATTAAAGCCAGGTGTGCATCGCAACACACCTGTAATCCCAGCACTTGGGAAGCTGAGACAGGAGGATCATACGTTTGGGCTACATTCAGAGACTGTAAAAAAGTTGGACTCTCCCAACTCTCAAGCACCAGGCTGTCCTGTGGACAGAGCCCCATCTCTGGCCACATGATCATCGGATCGGCAAGGATGTCCACTATGAGAGGGAGTGACCCTTCCAGATGGTCAGCATCAACGCTTGAGGGGTCCTGTCTGGAGAGGAGCGCTTCGGCAGGGCTGTGACTCTGAGCATCCTTGAGTGCTCCGCCGAGCCCACCGACTGCATTGTCCTGCCTTTCAGTGCCCTCAAGCCAGACATCTCCCGAGTTCTCAGACGCCATCAGGGCCCTCAGAAACCGTGACGATAAGATCCGTGTGTTGCCAAGTAAGGCTCACTGGATCGAGATGCAGCACCTGATGGGGTGGGTCTTGTGGTTGCTGGTGAAGCTCATCGACACCCCCAATGTGGTCCGAAGTCTACATCAACTGGTTCCGGTCTGACGACCAGAAGCCCTTTGAGACAGGAAAGCAGAATCCTCTCCAAGGTAACTGCTCTGCCCTGAAATGCCACCCTCAGGATGCCCAGGACTTGGTGAGTGGCCAGGCTGGCCGAGGTCCGTCCCTGTATCATCCATCCCCTCATGAAGGAGAAGTGTCAGAAGATGGTGAGGGGACATCAGAGCCTTCCTGCCCCGGGCCTTCGGGAGATGCGGGGACTAACAGACCCAGGACTTCAGCAGGTTTCAGGCCTTGGAGCCTGAGATGCCGGACACTGTGGACGACGTGCTGGCCAGTGACGGGGGTCTGGAGGACTCCCTGACAGACACCCTGGCAGGCGGTGCAGGGTGGCACTCTTTGGGCATGGCTAGAGCAGGAGTGTGAAGGGTGCTGAGTTGGTACCTGGCAAGCACAGGACTATCTTCAAGATCTACACACACACACACCCCAGCCCTTCTCCTGCCATCAGCTGCAAGATCACAGGCACCGTCAGGAAGAAAGATGCATTCCATCTTGCCTAACAACAGGGAACAACTGGAGGATCACAAGTCACCCACTGAGCTGCCCCACACCTCACCTCACCTCACAAGCAGAGGCACAAATGACCCCTCAGACAGCTGTCACCTCCCTCCCACCATCTCTGCACCTGCTCAGGTGAGCCGGGGGCCTGGGAGACATAGATTAAGGGAGGAACGTTGTTGTCTCCATATCCCAAGGTCCATAAAGACTCAGCCATGTTTCCTTAGCTCTCGAGTAAGAGAAACACCATACTTCTTTTATTATGGGGCTCAGTGGGGAACCAGTAGCGATGCTTGGATGCAAACAGTGGAGTTTTATACATAAAAAATATGGGTATCTTTGATATATAATATTAGAGGTGAAAAACACAGTCTAGTCAATCAGCAGTGGTATTTAAATAGGAATTGAGATCTCTGTAATCTAACGCCTTTCTTATGCTTTCCATATGCTTCCTGGGATCTTATTTATTTACTGCTTTTCCTTAGCTTTCTTGGTAAAATTCCTTTACGGAAATGTTAGCGAAGTGAGGTTTACTGCGACGGACGGGAGAGGTGAGGAGGACACCATTGAAGCCTAACGGCCGGCTGGCATGGGATTGGAGTGCCGATGGAGGGGGGCTGAGATGCAGGGGTGTAAAAATCTAGAGATGATACAGCCGAAGGTAGCAGCAGCCACCACCGTCCTTTTGACCTGTGCTTGCAGCTTTAGGGCGGAGATGGTGGAGGACTCTGTGGGGGGCTTGTTTAGCTGGGAGCTGTGGGGAACCGATGCTGGAGAGAAACTTAACGTGAGGGCAGTGACACGGTGTTTGCGGGATCCACGGGGCTTGGGAACCAGCCCAGATGGGAAGTTTAGGGGTGGAGAAAGGACTCTTTTTCTGGGGGGCGTGTTTCCGGTTTGAAGAAACCAGGGCAGGAACTCAGCAATGTCCAGGTCAGCTTTGAATACACATAGATTTCCAAAGCCTGCCATGGTGGTGCAGGCCTGTAATGCCAGGGCTCAGGAGGGGGAGCAGAACTGTGAGTGGGAGGCCAGCCTAGGCTCCAGAGACCCTCGCCAACAAAGGCAGGCGGGGCCATAGGTTCAGTTGGTAGAGAGCCTGCCTAACATACGCGAAGCCCTGGTTTGGTCCCTAGCACGGAACAGAAACACGTATAGTACATACCTGCAATCCTAGCGATAGAATGGAGGCAGGGGAGTCAGAAGTTCATACACACCAAAGCATAAAGGAAGATGTGGAAGCCAGTAAGATTACAAAACAACATGGACTTTTGATTTGATAAGGAAAAGCTGAATCGTTAATGTACCCAGTTTAAAAAAAAAAAAAAAAGACCTGTTTCCTGTTTGGACAAAGAACGAACTAGTTCACGCACCCAGGGGAAGCATCTACGAGCAAGGACTAGTAAAATGAATAAAACCAAATTAAACCACTGGCATGAGCCAGCGATGAGGTTAGGACGTGTTCTGGAGAGACACAGTGACTCCTGGCACTGTAAAACAGTGCTTCCTGGAGAGACATTTGGCAATAGTTGCCCCGTTTTTGTTTTTTTCTTCTTGAATGATTGTAAAACTACACTAATCTCAGCCTGTCTGGAATCCGGCAGGGACTGAGGGTTGGAGGGTCGGCCCAGACTTCCCCAGCGGGTGGCTCCGTTCCATCCGTAGCCCTGGGGGGAAATGTCATGCCACTTTGGGGAATACATTCTGGAAAATAATTCAGTCGTAGAAAAATATTTGCAAAGACCTTTACAGCTGCCTGCATTTACTGTCATTACCTGGAAACTGCTTTGTGGTGAGGGAGGGCTGAGTAGATTGTGGTCTGTATCATGGATCGCAGCCATGAGAAGTCTTTGAAAGGAATGGTATGTGATACAGTCCTAAGGGGAGGGAAGAGAGTGAGGGCGTGGCTGGGGAGACGGCTCCGTGGGTAAGAACGCTTGCCACACAAGCACGAGGACCTGAGTTCGGATCCCCAGCACGCATATAGAAAGCCAGGTATGGCCACATGTCCCAGAGCTATCAGGGTAGAGGGACAGAGGCAGGGGCTTGGCTGCTGCCGGGCTAGCTCCAGGTTCTCGAAGTTATAGGTGGGGAGTAACAGAGAGGGATGCTTGGTGTTTCCTAGACCCTGTGCGTGCATGCACCTTGATTGATTGGGGCATTCTGATTGCAGCGGGTCAGCAGCAGGTGCCAAGCCGGCAACGGATCCCTACTCTGTAAATAGCCAATGATCTCGGCGGTTACGTCTTTTTGAGTTATTTTGAACTGGTACACCTGCATATTTCTATTTCAGTTAGTATTATATGATTGAATACTTCAAGAAAATATACTTCCATAAATAATATTTAAGAAGAACTTAATCCGGGCCAGATGTGGTAGTGCACTCCGGTAACTCTCGCGCTTAGGACGAGGCCGGAGGTTTGTTATTTTGTGGCCGGGTGGTCCCCACAGCTTGACAGGGTGGCTATGAAGTTCCTTTTGGGAAGTCTTGCTGAGTTCTCCCGGCCAATCCTGACCGAATGCTGGGGCTACAGAACGAAGTGAGATTGGAGGAGTTGTGTGAAGGCCCGGAGAGTGTGTGTGTGTTGTCCTGAGATAGCGGGATAGCCAACGCAAGTCTCAATAACCGTCTGTGAAGTGAGTTAACGTGTAGAGAGGGGATCAGACTTTTCTGACACCAAGGTTTCTGTATGTCAGACTGCAGAAATCTTGGCTGATGGGAAGTCTCCAGTAGGGGGCACTGTTGCACCTCCTAAGGCAAGACTTCAAAAATAGAGGACTGGGGTTGTCCGGTTTGTTAGGAGAGGGAAGAGCGAGGGAGGGACGAGAGAGAATGTTCCACCTCTTTTAGGAGAAGGAGGAGTGAGGGAGGGGCTCCTGTGCCGTTTTGAGTAGCGCAGCGCTGCAGAGGTGCGCGGGAACCTGGAGCAGGAGGCTAATTCAGAAACGAACCCGGCCTGGTAGTGCAGGCTGCCGTCCCAGCAAGCAGGGAGGCTGAGGCTGAAGGATAGCCGATTGAAGTCCTGCCTCGGTCACTTGGCAAGACCATGTTTCAGAATAAAAAGTAAAAAAAGGACTTGGGCTGGAGCTCGGGAATAGAAAGCTTGCCTAGAATCCCCCAGTGAGGGGCTGGGGTGTGGCTCAGTGGTAGAGGTTTGTCTAGAATCCCCCAGTGAGGGGCTGGGGTGTGGCTCAGTGGTAGAGGTTTGTCTAGAATGCATGTGGTCCTGGATTCAATGCCCAGTAGCAGGAGAAGGGAGAGGCAGCCTGGTTCTGAAAGAGAATCCCACAAATGCTCAAGAGACAGAACCAAAGGCTTCTCTGGGACCTCGGAAGTTGAAGGGAAATGCTAAACTCATAAACAGGTAGGGGTGGGAGGCACCCACACTAGGATCTGGCGGGTGGTGAGAGGGATGGCCTTGAGCATCACCTGGAAGTTGAAATCCACACCTTAACTGACCTGGGCATCCTAGCCCATCCCACCCAGACTCAGAATTGTTCTTTGTGTTTAATCAATACCTTAACCGCGTAGCAACAACTTGATCAGTTATTCTTTTCCTGATTGGAACGGTCCAGGTTGTATATGGATTGGGGACAAGTGGATGTTGTTTGAGGAAGGGAGACAAGGCAACAGAAAAACTGTTATATTCATATGACTCTGCAGTCCTTCACCAGAGTAGGACCGAATGGGAGAATTGTGACATGCGGGCCCAAGAGCTGGGCGTGATGGCACAGACCTTAACCCCAACGCTGGGAAGGCGGAAACATGCCAGCCTGAGCTACAGGTGAGACTTGGTCTCAAAATAAGGGCTGGAGAGGTAGCTCAGTGGTTAAGAGCGCTTGCCGCTCTCACAGACTACCTGGGTTCAATTCCCAGCACCCAGATCAGGTGGCTTACAACAGCCTTTAACTCCAGCTCCAGGAGATCTAGTGCCATCTTCTGGCCTCCAAGGACACCTGCACTTACATACACACAGCCACACACATAGATATTAAATATAAATGTTTAGGAAAATAATGTACCTAAGGAAGTCTGGCTAAGGGGGCTGGAGAGATGGCTCAGAGGTTAAGAGCACTGGCTGCTCTCCCAGAGATCCTGAGTTCAATTCCCAGCAACCACATGGTGGCTCACAACCATCTGTAATGAGGTCTGGCGCCATCCTCTGGCGTGCAGGCATACATCAAGGCGTATGTTGTATACATAATAAATAAATCTAAAAAAAAAAAAAAGAAAGTCTGGCTAAGGCTACACTGTGAACATTCTCCTAGGGATGATATTTGTTTAGTTTTCAGAAGTTAAATAAACAAGCCACTCAGCAAAACACACAAGTGACCACAGACACGCAAGGGACCAATGGCCCAGTTGGCTGACAGTCAGGGCCATTCTCAAAGCTAGCGGGGAATTGGCTGTTCTGACTGAGGACCAATTACTGTTGACATTTTGGGAAGGTTTTTTTTTTTTTAATTGCATGTGTGGCCTACCTTTGTATAGTCTGGAAAGAATAGGATGTGGGAGGCGGGGCAAGACGGTGATCTTTTGCTGTAGACCGATCTGTAAAGTGGTGCCCTTTCCTTCATTCCTATGGGCACAGTTCTGAGGGAACATGTTTTTAAGGAAACGGGTGATGTTGGTGAATCTGAGCTAGGCAGAGCTGGGTTGAGGGGAGCCAGGGTGAAGGTGCCTGGCCATCTCTCGCTGGCAGTGACGTTGAGGGTGGATACAGTCCTCTGACTGGGGAATTGGAGAAGGGGTGCAGACCTGTGAAATGGGGAGAAAGCCGCCTTACCCTAGCCGGGGCAAAGCTGCCCAAGGACCTGGAAGCTCTTAAGAAGTGGGCTGGACAGAAGGTACCAGGATCAGCCCAGCCAGCTGACTCGGGGACTTAATTTATTAAAATGCATCAGGGAAGGAGAAAGATTAGCTCTTCAGGGACTTCCAGACACCTGGATTGGAGGATCAGAGACCATTCACTGACGTCAGGTGTTCCTCTCCTGATGTGCCCAGTGAGGTATCTTGGTGACCAAATAGAAGGTGGGCCTGTGCAGGGAAGGGGACCAGAAGAAGCCGGAACTTTGGGAAGACCAGCATGTCTCCAGAGGAAGTTGTAGCTGGTTATCTTAGGGGCCAGGAGAGAGTGGGCTGAAGACAAAGCCTGAGAGTCAGTCTTGCCCACTTCTCCATTGCCAGGGGACCAAGTGCCTATGCTGAGGAGCCTTACCATTGCATGTGCTGTGCCTCCCGTTTCTCAATAAAGTTCTCTACCGTTTCTGTAGTAATTACTTGGCTGGCCTTGTTTGTTCTGCATGCCTCTGAGACCCCATGGCCAAAAGCAGTTTGGGGAGGAAAGGGTTTATTTCAGCCTCCAGCCGGGGAAGCCAAGGCAGGAACCTGATGGCAGGAGCTGATGCAGAGACCACGGAGGAGTGCTGCTTACTGACTTGCTTGGTTTGCTTTTTTTAAACACACATTTTTTTTAATTTTATGTGTGTGGAAATTTGTCTTACAGGTAAGTCTGTGCAGCACATGTGTGCAGTGCCCTCGGAGGCTGGAAAGTCAGATGCCCCGGGACTAGAGTCACAGATGCTTGTGAGCTGGCATGTGGGTGCTAGGAACTGAAGCTGGGTCCTCTGGGAAAGCAACGTTCTTCACCACTAAGCCACCTTTCCGGGCCCTCAGCTTACTTTTTTAGGCAACTCAGGCACATCTGCCCACAGCGGGTACCACCCATAGTGGGCCAGGGCCTCCTGCATCAATTGTCAATCAAGAAAACGCTCCACAGGCCAGCCTGATGGAGACTGTGGCTCAACTGACATTCCCTTTTCACCTCACAAGGGCTGGGGAGATGGTTCTGTGAGTGACGCGTTTGCCAAACAGGAGGGGCTGAGTTCAGATCCCCGCACCCTCCAGAACCCTGGATTGCTGAGGCATGTCTAGAATCCTGAGCGCTGGGGAGTAAGAGACAGGCAGATTGGCAAGCCCAGCGGAAGCAGGGAGCTTCCAGCTAAATGAGAGACCCTCTCTCAAATATGGTGACAAGCTAGCTCAATAGGTAAGGGTGCCTGTCACAAAGCCTGGTGGCCTGAGTTTGATCCCTCGGGATCCACACGGCAGAAGGAAAGGTCCTGCAAGTGTCCTCTGGCTTTCACACGCCCAACATGGCGTCTGTATCCACACCCCACCCCCGCACAAACACAAAATAACAAAATCAAGTGTGTGTGTGTGTGTGTGTGTGTGTGCACAAGTGTGAGAGCCATTGAGAAACACGCCCAACGCTGACTTCTGGCTTACGTGTATACACGCACCCCACATATACACACACGGTAGCCCTGCAGAAACAGGGAGGATCAGTGCATATCCGCTCGTGGTTTCAGAGGGTCTCAGTCTGCCACGGCAATGGGAGTGTGTGAGGAAACTCCTTGTGTCATAGAGGACCAGAAAGAAGTACATACTGGGGCCAGAGGCAGGTACTACTTTCCAAAGTCCACCCCTGATGGCATACTTCACCAGCCAGGCTCCAGCTCCTAAAGATCCCCATAACCTTCAGAATAGTACCACAAGCTAAGGACACAAGCCTGGAGCTGGAGAGATGGCTCAGCAGTTACGAGCATGCAGTGCTCTTGCAAGGGACCTGAATTCAGTTCCCAGTATCTGCCAGCTCATAACTTCCCTTAACTCTAGGTCCAGGGGATCTGGCACACTCTTTTGGCTTCTGCGGGTACTGCATACAAGTGTGCATGTCTAAACACACACACACATATACACAAAATTGAAAATAAATAAAATCTCTAAACCTGACAGTAGGAGACATTTCAGATTCAAACCAAGGCACCAGGACCTAAGGAGCAGAAAGGGTTAGATTGTCATGTCTGCCTGGTGGTCACTCCCAGGGTGGCCACACTGATTCCTTGGGGACATTGCAGAAGCCACAGCAACCAACACAATGACACCCGTGATCCGGTCTCCTTTCAGCCCGGCTTCTGCAGGACAAATGGAACCACTTCTGAGCTAACCCTTCTTGAGCCAGCAAGATGGTCCAGCAGGTAAAGGTGTTTGCTGCCAAGATTGACCTGAGTTCAATCTCTGAAACCCACAGGGCGCAAGGGAGAGCAGTGCCTCCCTCAGGCTGTCCTCTGACCGCCACGCGTGGACATGGCACGCACGCACACATCCCCATACCCTAGATAAGTAATCTTTTTGAAGAGAGGCGTGGTAGCACTTACAGCCCTAGCTCTAGAGAGGTGAATCTCTGGAGTCTTAGGCCAATGGGAGACCTTGTCTCAGAAATCCAAGGTGAATGGTGCCTGAGGACTGACAGCCACGGCTGTCCTCTGGTCTCCGCTACCTCACGCTGGCACACACGTGTGCAGGAACGCCCACCCACAGTCAGGAAGATAGAGTGAACAAAGAAGGACTGGGGCCTTGAGGAAGTCTGACCTGGAGGCGTAGGAAGATGGTTCTGAGACATTTCCCACCTGGGGCTCTCTATGGGCTTGTTCTCCCAGCCAGGACCCCCACCAAGGAGAAAGACAGACAGACAGCCTAGCGGGGAATGCTGCAAATGGCCTGGCTCGGGAACAAGGCCTCACTGCGCCGTGACAGCCTACAGAAGAATTCTGCAACTCATTCTCCGATGACTAAGCCCGGACCTGGGCGCCTGGGCGAACCCCGGGGAACGTGACTCAGCAGCAAGCTGAGGGGGCCTGGCGACAGGAGTCGGCCTCGGTCCATGTGAGCCAAGATTACAGCGAGGACAACCAGTTCCCAGCTTCAAACCCCAAGGCGGAGCGCCTGCCTCTGTGGTCAGACCCACGAGGGGCTCGTGCTGCAAGCCGTGTGGCCACGAGCCTCCTCCCTCCCTCCCTCCCTCCCTTTATCCTGTTGTGCACTCCAGTGCCGGGGGCCACCTCTGCCGCCCACGGCTCCAGTGAAAAAGCCTCCTTACAGGGAGAGGCTGGGTCCCAGAGAGAGCAGGAGAGACATAGAAGGAGATGGGGGTGGAGGGACTCATCCCAGGCCTGGAACACGCTAGACAGATGATCCCAGCTTCCTGCCTGTACTGAGGAGATGGGAAGGGAGTTCGTCAGGCTTGACTTTTCTCAGGGGCCAATTCTGAAGACATCTTTGCATGTTCAGAAGTAACAGTGTCTGTTTTCTCCAGAGTCGCAGGGATGGTTCGATGAACTATGTGGGGTGGGTGGGTGAGGTGGGGGGCATCCCCAGCTAAGACTGTGGGCCACGCCTGTATCCCAGCACCTAGGAGGTGGAGGCTGGGGGGGTATGGAGTTTAAGGGGCAGCCTGAGCTATAGAGCAAGGCTCTCTCAAACAAAGAACACACGTGAATAGGAGAAGAGAAAAAAAAAAGGGACGGAGGAAAGGATTGAGGAAGATAACAGCGTTCTGAGAGAGAGAGAGAGAGAGAGAGAGAGAGAGAGAGAGAGAGAGAGAGAGAGAGAGAGACCATGGCTGTGGCGTGGTCATTCAAGGTGAAGGCCACACACACACAGGCCATCTCCCTCTACCCTGGCCCTCGCTGGCATTCCCAGGCCTGTCTGGCGTGGCCAGGCTTCTGTACAGAGCAGGATAAGGAGTCTGACTCAGCGGAGCGCAGGTACTCTGCGGAGATCTGCAGGCAGAGGAAACACATCAGGCGTTTGTGGCAACCTAGCTGTGGAACCCGATCTGAGGAGTTCCTGGCAGCTCTGCAGCTGGGGTGAGGCCCTGGGGCTGAGGACAGGGCTCCCTTTGCCTTAGGAGGTCAGCATGAGTGACAGTGAGGTAGCTCGGGTCTGGGGACGAAAGAGGGCAAGCTCACCCGGGAGAGCTTTCTCCTGAGGGTTTTACTTATTTTTGAAACAATTTCAGATTGTTAAGGCTGATGCCAAACTCGCTCTGTAGCTAAGGATGACCTTGAACTTCTGATCCCCCTGCCTCTGCCTCCCAATTGTTGGGATTATGGGGGTGCACCACCAATAGACAGTTTGTGTGGTGCCTGGGGTCACGCTAGGCAAACACAGAACCAACTGGGACACAGCTCTGCCCTGCCCTGCCTTGTTTTGTTTTGTGGGGTGGTTTGGTTTTTTGGTTCGTTGTCATTGGTTCCTGAGGCAGAGTCTCATTCTGTAGCCCAGGCTGGCTTCAAAGTTGCTGTAATCCCCCTGTCTCAGCTTCCCACATACTGGGGTTGTAAGCAGGAGCCACCACAGCTGTTCCTTCTGGCTTTATGAAACAGCGCCTTGCT